GCCTCCCATTTCCCTCCCCTTCCTCCAATCAAGTCCCCCTCCCTCATCAGCCCAAAGAGCAATCAGGGTTCCCAGCCCTGTGGGAAGTCCAAGGACCTCCCACCTCCATCCACGTCTAGTAAGGTGAGCATCCAAACTGCCTAGGCTCCCACAAAGTCCTTATGGCTTTTCTTTATGTGTCCAGTAACCAGCCTAGCCTCATGGCCCATTCCCTCCTCTCCCATGCTGGGCTGCCACTTATGGGGATACCCTTCTCCTCTTACCCTTCTATTAAAGTGTCCCTCCCCCCCAAGACAGGGTTTCTCTGTATATCTCTCCATGTCCTGGAATTCACTCTGTAGACCAGGCTGGCCTCCAACTCAAAGTTTTTTTTTTAAGTTTATTACCATATTTAATAAGTGTTGGTGTCCTGCCTACATGCATGTGCAGTACTGCATGTATTACATGTGTATCTAGTGCTTTTGGAGCCCTTAGAATTGGAGTTCCAGACAGTCGTGAGCTGCCAGGTGTGTCCTGGGAATGGAACCCTAGTTTTCGGGAAGTGCACAGACATACTTTTAACCACTGAGCCCTCTGAAAAGTTTTTCGTTTTTGTTTTCATTTCTATCAATGCCAGGGATTGAACCTGAGGCCCATATATCAAGGAAAATGCTCTACCCCTGAGCTACAAGCCCTGTCCAGGAAAGTATTTTTTTAAGTAAATTACTTTGGAATGACTAGACTTAGAGAGAGGTGACGAATACACTTCACATGTGGGACTCTTGAGACTCACTCAATAGCTTGTGTTAAAGGACATTATTTCTTACTATTGTTTTCTAAGACAGGGTTTCTCTGTGTAGTCCTGACTGTCCTGGAACTCACTCTGTAGACCCAGCCGGTCTCAGAGTCAGAGATCCGCCTGCTTCTGCCTCCTGAGTGCTGAGACTAAAGGTGTGCACCACCATTGCCTGGCAACCAAATGGACATATCTTTAAAGATTCAAATAAACAACAACAACAAACAACCCTACATCTCAAGAAATTGCATTTTCCAGGAAACAATAGTCCCAAATTTTAGACTTGGTAGTAGATTCCTGGTAAATGCTATCAAGAAATAACCCCAAATTTACACTTACTAAATCACTATGAGGTCAGTGTAGCCCAGAACCAAAACCCAGGTTTCACAGAAAGTAAAATTAGAGGCCAGTAACCAGCAGGGTCTGGTGTGAGAGCACAAGGCCACCTCTGCAGCTGGGTCCCGCTGGTGTGCCATGAATGCCTTAGCAAACAGGAGGGACGAGTGGCCAGGCCTAAGCAGGCCACACTTTATGTGAAAGCATGAATGGTACCCGCAGGGATGCCCATGCTCACGCCTGCAAACTGGCACTTTCAGATGCTCCAGTGGTCAAAGAATGAGGATGCTGTGGGGCAAGGGATGGCTCAGTGACTAAGAACGTGCACCGCTCTTGTACGGACCCAGACTCAGTTCCCAGCACCCGTGTCCGGCGGCTTAACCAGACTCAGTTACATAGTGTGAGGTCAGCCTGAGATACCTGAGACCCAGCTTTAAAAACCAATCCACCAATCAAACTAAACCAAGCAACCAGCAACCAAATACTCCAGTCTCCTAGGGTACCACTTGCAGAATCTGTTTTTTTTTTTTTTTTAAAAAAGTGGTTTCCAGGGATTAACTCATTCTGTCTACTTAAAAATTCTATAAAGCAATTTATTTTATTATCATCCCCATTTTTCAGAGAAAGATACTAAAGCAAAGAGCAGGAATGTAACTTACCGAGGTCCTAAGGTAGTGGATGAGAGGGGTGGGGTGGAGTAGGAACACATAGGTTAAGGGGAAAAGCAAAATTCCCGAATCTGCTGTGGGCACCTGCTGGCCACTAGCAGCTAAATCTGCAAGGCACAGGCTGTCCACCATCCCAGCACTGGCGGAGCCAAACCCAAAGGTCAGGAGCAGCTGCAAAGCCACCTGGACTCAGGCCTGCATTGGTGTACTGGTTTGGTTTGGGGACGAGGTCTCACCATATAGCCCTCGCTGGCCTGGAATTCACAGAGAACTGCTTGCCTTTGCCGCCAAGCGCTGAGACCAAACGTGTACCACCACAGCCCACTCCTGTCCAAATTCTTAATCTGTGTGCAGACTCTGAGTAATGTGGGTCCCTGCCAGGGAATAAAGTCAGTCTTCTTCCCATTGCTGTTCAGCCTCTAATTGTGTTCCTGATGCTATTTCTGCACGGTCTCACCCAGTGTCTACTAGCCACCTGGGACTGGCAAAGTTAAAATTAAATAAAACGGGGCTGGGGAGATGACGCAGTGAACAAGAACCCTTGCAGGCTAAGCATAAGGACTTGAGTTGGGATTCGTTTGTTTACAAAGCTGGGGTGGCCATGTACCCATAATCCACATGCATGACATGGAGCCTGGAATAGGACGATTCAAGGGGCTGCCTGGCTAGCTTCAGACTCAGGGAGAAACCTGATCTCAAGAGAACAAGGCAGAGAGTGACAGAGCAGGATACTTGATGTCCTCCTGCCCACACAGGTGCACATGTGTGTACAATGGCACATTCACATGCATGAGCATGAACTCTCATAAAAAGAGTAAATAAAATATAAGATCCCAGTTCTTCAGTGCCACAGGCCACAAGGGCTATACCAGGTAACAAAGCTCAGGACACAGCTGCTATCCAGGATGCTGAGTTCCTAGCTACTGTCCACAAAGGGTATCGCCAGGCATCTTCTGTACTGATTTTACACTGTATTGATTGAATTTATTGTGTAGCTGGGATTAGAAACATGTCACAATATGCTGAGAAAAAAAAGCATCCCCCCTGGGAAGGGGGATATAGTTCCATGAGTAGAATGCTTGTCAGTCTAGCATGCGCAAAGCGCTGGATTGATCCCTAGAGCCACACGAACCAGGTGTGCCAGGCCAACACTTACCTGTGTTCTCAGCACCCAGGAGAGTAGGAAGATCAGGAATTCAAGGTCATCCTTTGTCGCCGCACAGGAAGTCCAAGGCCAGTCAGGTAGCCAGAAGGACTTGAAAACCTGTCTGAGAGAGAGAGAGAGAGAGAGAGAGAGAGAGAGAGAGAGAGAGAGAGAGAGAGAGAAGCACACTTGAGAAACAGTTTCATTTCTTGTGTGGCATACGCTTACCCAACACTTATCCTTCAACTTGGTTCATAGTGCTTACAGTTAACTAACTTAATTCTAAGCATTTCATTTCCACTTTGCTGGAGGATATTAAATCCCACGGGGGCATTACTGTTTCTGCTACACAGTTACGCTTGCTTCATTAGATATATCTGTGATCTACTTCGCTTTTCATGTGGAAACTGTTTAGAAACTGGATTATTTTGTCACTTGACAATGCACATTACATTTTCTTTTTCACTTAATTACATGCCAGTCACAGGAGAAAAAAAGAAAGTGTCCCTGCTGTGTGTGGTGGCATATGCTTTTAATCCCAGCACTCGAAGCCAGACAGGCATCTCTTGAGTTCCGGGTTACATCGGGAGAGCTTGTCTCAAAAACAAAATAAAGCCACGTGTTCCTTCCGACATCGCTGCTGTCTGGCGCTTGCCCTAAGGGGTCTTGTGGGGCTTTTCATTAGAGCGGACTGGAGGAACAACCGCCTCCTCCCCCAGCACTCAAGGTCGCCAGGAGGGGTTCCTGTGCCAGCAGGGAAGCCCCTGGCAGCTCCGGAACAACACCGTAGTCTAGTCCTTCAGGCTCCTGCGTAGGAACAAACTCTGGCCGAGTATCAGTACAGATGCATCTCTATCGGTCCTCAGTGAGCAGAATCTTCTTTACCTGATTTAAAAAAGAAAAAAAAAATGCTCCCACAAAGCAACAGAGGCTGGGATTCAGGATAAGTCAACTGCCGGAGGGAGGCAGCACACTGCAGCGCCTGCATCTTACAAGCGAGTCTCGACCCGGGGAGCGCGTCCATAAACGCTTTCCAAAAGACTAGGCGAGGGGCAGTTTCTGCCACTGCTTTCTTTCTGTTCACGGTCTCACTATGCTGCCTAGCCTGGCCTCGAACTCCTGGAAACCCTCCGGCCTCAGCTTCCTGGCATGCTCCGCCACACTCTAAGGGAAAGGGCACATTTTCAGAAACCAGCGTTGTGGGCTCGGGGTGGACCGGCCATCCCCACAGACCTCGCCACCCAGCCAACCCTCAGTCTCAGAACACACACCGGGGAAAAACTCCACGCTCGCACCCACCGGCACCGGGAAGCTACGCCATCCGGCCGCGCGACTGCTTCCGGGTCGAGCTCTGGCCGCGGCTGCGCAATGCACCAGCGCGCAGACGCAGAAGGCGCGCTGCCGCCCCCAAGCCCGTGTCCCTCTGCGGGCGCCGACGGGCGGCTTCCGATCGTGTCTGCAGCTCCGCCACTCAGGAGGCCGAGGCAGAAGGATCGCCGTGAATTCCAGCCCAGGAAAAAAGCCAGGGTGGGGAGCACACCTTTAATTCTAGCCTCTGGGTTTGAGGCCGGCCAGGGATGCACGGTTGAGTCTGTCTCAAAACCAAGCAAACGAAAAGGGGTCAAAATGAGAGAGGGTATTGCGCTCACAAATAACAAGGCGGATTTAACCTGCTCGATAAACAGAAATGAAGTAGTGGCTAAAAAAATGTTTTAATGGAAACGTAAAGTCTTCCTCTTTTTACAATTGCGAATGGACGCTCGTTACTGAAGCCCACGTCTGAAAACCCGGCACGACGGGAAAGGCAGACACTTCTTCCCGGTCCACGGCCTCTGCAGACGTGGCCAGTCTTCCACTGTGCTGTGCTCTGCTTCTGGAGAGGCGTCCATCCTCCAACCATAGCCCCCGACGCGGGGCTTCTGCCAAGCACATCTGAAAACCTCAATCATCACTGGTCACGTTCACCAAGTGTAGGACGGGTGCTGGGAAACAGGAGGAAGAATGAGCAGCGATTCCCAAATCTCCCACTTCACCTTTTCTGGCCTTCGGTAGGAGGAGTCATAAAAAAACTGCAGAGTCAACCACAACTGCATGAATGGTTCATTTCGGCTAGGACTTCCCGAACATTTACGTTACAGAAGAAAAAAGCTGTAATACAGTCAATGAAAAAGAACTGCTGGCATTACTGTTCCCCACAAAATTACATAAAAATAAACAAAACATTAAATAAACATTATTAATCATTAAATATATTAACACCAAAATCATGTATAAATTAGGAAATAAATGTACAAACTATTTCACAAAGTGCTTTTAAAAATATATACACAACATTCAAGAAATTCTTAATGTAAGACATTTCAGATTGAAGTTTTGGGGTGATACATTTTTAAGTGTCCTTTTCTTTCAAAAAGTATTAACACAGCACTTGCACACACACACACACACAAATACAGCCATTTAACATACATACATACTAATACAGCACTTAACACACATACACGCTCACACACATAGAAGGCATATTCCCAGATTGGCAAGAAATAAAAACCATTTTCACAGTTACTTAAAATGTTTCGACATTTTCAACGGGAAATTTTAGGCCCCAATTGAGCTTGTAGACGAGTTTTATAAAAATTGCTGGAAAAGAAAGGAGCAAAAGAGATGACTCCCTAAAATGAAGTTGCCAAATGCTTGCGTCACTTAGCATTCACACTCGTTTCTGTAGTTAATACCATCATACAGCCAGCCTTGCCTGTGTCAGTCCCACAGGAGAGGGAGAATGTTCTAGATAAGGACTGCAGCCAACACAGTCCAGTCCTTCAGTCTTCATCTGTAAGCGAAACAGTCCTTGCTCTGTACTTCCCAGGAAGGCTGTCAAGATTAATTCAAGTAAAACCCACAAAAGTGCCTTGCAAATCCTCACCCACTGAGCTACTGATAAGTTTTATGTTTTAAAAACTATCAACTGAACCACCAGGTGTGCATGCCTGTACACTCAGTAACTGGGAAGCGAAGTGGAGGCAGGATGATCATAAACTCAAGGTCAGCCTTAGCTGTGTAGCAGTGAGTCTGTGGCCAGTCTGGGCTACGTTAAGACCTTGTCTAAAAATACAAATAAAACAAAAGCTTCATACTGGATAGGCCCGATGCATCAGGCCCTGGATGCATATGTGTGTGTGTGTGTGTGTGTGTGTGTGTGTGCGCACGCACATATTTGTGTTTGTATTTGTATCTTCTTGGTTGTTCTTAGAAATACACCAGCACTTATCTTGAAGGTTTTTCCCCTTTTCATAGTAACATGATTATTATCCAAATAAAGGCTGAGAGATGCCAATACTACATTATATGTGGTATTTTCCTTTGACATTAACTTTCCAAAAAGGCTGTGTTTCGTGTTTTGCACAGAATTAAAATGAGATTGAACATCCTAGGGATGTAAAGAAAAAAAATAAAAAGGAAAATCACTCAAATTTCACTATATAAAACGTGTACTTTTCATTTAAAAGAACGTTAATAAAGCTATTTAGACTTGTTAAAGATACAGTGTGGATTTCAGATTTCCCTAATGCAAAGGACACTTGCTTGGCAATCTGAACTTGGAGGTCCTGAAGAAGTAATAAAAACACTTGCCAACTGCTTGTAAAATTTAGCATCGGTACTTTCGATTCTCTTTAAGTTTAGGACTGGGCATACTCTTGAAATGACATTAAATAAACACACAGCTGGTAGACAGTGAGCCTTGCTCTTCAGAACACTGCCCTCCCTGGGACAGGTTACCCTCACGCTGCCCTCATGGACACTGATCCCTCTTCACTGTTTAAAGACATAGACTTTTTAGGATCACGAGGAGTGGAGAGACACAGGCAATGGGTAAGTTCTGGAAAGGATAGCTCATCGTCTTTCCACACATGGAGCACATTTTCTTTGTTACAATGACACACGAAACTAGCCCAAAGACACAGGTGGTATCCCCAAGCCCTATCTAGGCACAGGAAGAGATGGCCACCCAGGGTTGTATATGTGTGTCAAGCTAAGGGCAGTCAGGTAAAGAAACACTTACAGTCCACTTTGCAACAATGGTGTGAGGAGCACACCGGGTCTGTTCACAGTAACATGGATCATGGTACCTTTTAGATATTGTCTCCTCACTGGGCACACAACACGTGATGACAGTGTGACCCCCAGAGCTAGCTAAGAACATTGAGGAGGGGGTGAGGGAGAAAAACAGGACAACCTCTCCATTGTGTCGATATACAATACTTTACACAGCACCAAATACGTCACACCCAGCATGAAATCAGCCTGCGTCACATGCAGACATGGCACTGGGCGCAGGGTAACCAACATGTCATGACTCATCAGAACTGCCACCGGCTTGTCCAGAACGTACTACCGTGAAGGGTCCAAAGACAACGCTCGTCCCTTATTGCTGGTAATTTCCATACTGGCCCTGAAAGAGAACAAGACAAAGATTACACCTCTTTAGTCTTGAGTGGCAGGGTGTACACCCAAACAACAGGAAGTTTCTTCCCACAGCCAGAGCCTGGATCATAGGTGGGAAGTGACTTCAGAAGCAAGCAAGCTAACAGTCTGCCCAAATCCACAAAGTGAGAGGATTAATGAAAATGGGTGTGGAGGCCCCAAAATGTGAGCCTATTCCCCCTGGTCTGCAGGGCACAGAGTTTGAGCCTATTCAAAGTTGTTAACAAGTATAGCTACACACCCTGACCTAGGGTGTAGTTACTTGGTGTTTTGGACATTAAGATGGCCCATAGAGGTGTATCCTCTCCACCCTGATCAAAGGTCAGAGAATTTAAGTATACTTCTGCTCCTTCTTTTGAAATAGGAGGTTTGGCCTTAGGGTACCTGGTCTGGGGCTGGTTCACTGCCTAAATAATAGAATACTTTTTTCAAGAATTAATGGCTTGGTGTCTCAAGTATTGGAGCAAGTAACTGTACCGGTTGTCCACTGTATCATGTTAAAGCAGTCTTTTGCCTTCTTCTCCCTTTTGTATTGGGCTATTAAAAGTGTGGGAAAAAAAAACATAGGCAAATTCAGCACTCAGAACTTAATATGCATATCGGCCCTCCTGATACTATCCTATGTCTCTGTGTTTCTTTCTTATCTCTGTTCCTCCTACCTAAGGTTTCTAATTCTCACACCCCTACCCTGGAATCCCTACCCTGGAACATAAGAACCAGCTGTGGTTAGAAGCCTGGCAAAACTCACCCCAGAAGGTGGCTCCCACAAATGGGTTTATTTAAATGTAAGAGCTAGTTAGTAATAAGTCTGAACTACAGGCCAAACATCCTGTAATTAATATTAAGCCTCTGAGTGATTATTGTAAGTGGCTGCGGGGCGGGACAGGACAGGACAGAGAAGCCTCCAGTTAGAGGCAGGGCCTGTGAAGACAGCAATGTGCCCTCAGCGATGCACTGGGCTCTCTGAGAGGTAGGGCCTGGTCCTCTAGGAAAGGAGTCCCTCTGTGCCCTGGGCTCCTTCGAGTGACTGATGCCAACACAAGCTTCACTCTTAGGAACTGTCTTAGAGTGAGCTGGTTAACAGGGCCAGTCAATGCACAATCTGAAGAGAGACCTGAGGCTGCAGGCTTGGAAGCTAACGGAGTCCCGCGCCCAGGGGAGGACTCTCCTGGAAGACGTTGTCCTTTGGGACACAGGCACTCAACGCATCGCATCCCAGCTTCCTTTCTCCACAGAGCCCACAGTGAAGAGTCTGGCAGAGACAATCTGACAGGTCTCTGGGGCCTGTACCCAGGTAGGTGAAGCAGAGGTCACAGCAGGCAGCACCTCTGTATAGAGTGAGTCTAACCCAGTGCCCTCAGGCCAGCCAGTTCTTCCTGCAGGGATATATGGTGTTGCATGGAGCTATTTCTTGATCCTCAAAACTGGGGAATCAAGTGGGGTAGTGGCTAGGACACTAGAAAACATGAGATACACACAACTGCTGCCTGTACTTGCCTAGGCCCATCAGCCAACTGACTGGACTGGGACCTTGAGACCCACAGCTAAAACTCTTGTTTTCTGTATCCCACCCAGACATGGTTTCTCTGTTTAGCTGTGGCTGTCCTGGAACTCACTCTGTAGACCAGGCTGGCCTTGAACTCACAGAGATCCACTTGCCTCTGCCTCCTTGAGTGCAGGGATTAAAGCTGTGCACTACCACCGCCCAGCTCTACAGCTAAAAGTCTCACAGGCTGGATTAAAGGTCTGAAGTGAGGACACATTCCCCTGAGATGTCCTGCTGCATCTCTAGGGGCCAGTGATGTCATGACACTCAGCCTATAACTAAGTTAGCATGCCATTTGTTGGTCTGCAAATTCTTGGGATATTCTTTTTTTGGCCTCTGGGAAAACAGTATCTGTGTCATCAAGATCACCCTAGCAACTCCAGCCCCACAGTGGTTGTGCACCGCCGCTGTCCTGGAAGCCAGCTGGTACCATCTGTCATTCCTCGGGACCATGAGAGAGATCCTTGCCATGCCTCACTCGACACTTGGCAGACAGCACTTTCAGAAACATCCAGAAAGCTTGCCTGCTCATAGCCATAAGGCCGCTGCTGCTGGGCGGAAGGTCCCGTCTGCGACGCTCTGTAGCTTCCGTACTGTTGGCCTTGTCCTTGCTGGTAGCTTGAGTACTGTGAGGGGGCTCCCTGGGCAGGGCCTGTGAAGACAGCGGAGGTTGAGCGGTCAGCCATGACCGGTCATCATGCTTGTGAACGTCCAGATACCAGGCACCTGTCCCTTGGTGGTCAGGCCGAGTGTCATCTCTGACAGTTCTATGAGGGCCTGGGACTGTGCCCATACACACGTGGGGCACTGAGGGTCTGTCCCTAGCACACTGGGCCTGCCACCTTGCAGAAGGGGGTAAGGGGCTTCTCCAGAACCATCTGGGTTCAGTTAAGGTGGACACAGAAAAGCACAACATTAAATGGAACAAGGGAAACTCGGAGGCCGAAAAGAAATGTCCGATCCTGTGAAAACTAAGTTGCAGGCTCAGGAAAGGATAAAGCACAGCACCTGCTTAGTTATCATCTGTGTGTGCATGTGTGATGCTGAGGACAGAACGCAGACCATCACAGGTGGCAGTGCTCCACCACGGAGCCACGGCCCAGCCCCTATGAACACTCGGCAGCTATGGCTTGTACGTAGGCCACTGCTCAATGCTGCTTTCCTTTCTCCTGCACAGCACGTGCACCAAGCAGAAGCCAGAAGTGGGGAATCAGATCTCCCCCTGGGACCGGAGTTTCAGTCAGCTGGGCGCTACCGTTTGGGTGCTGAGAACCAAACACAGGTCCTCTGCAAGAGAAGTAAGTGTTCTTAACAGCCTAACCAGCTCTCCAGGCCCCAATCCTGGCTTCTGAATTGAAACCACTGTACTGGGTAACTGATGACCTTAGATACGGGGGAGGCATGTGGTGATATTTTATTTGTGTTTTAACAAATAAAGCTTGCCTGGAGATCAGAGAACCAGAGCAGCCAGCCACTAGTTCTTACCTCTACCAAATCCTCAGACTGAATGGGGTATCCTGTCTCTACGAAACCTCAGACCGAATCCTGAGCTCCTGTTTGCTCCCGGCTTATATTCCTCTCTCCGCCCAACCTTATCATTTTCCGTCTCCATTTCTTCAGTGCTGGGATAAAAGGTGTGAGCCACTACCACTTGGTTCTGTTTCTCTTTGAGACTGGATCCATCTTGTGTGTCCCGGGTGGCCTTGAATTCACAGAGATCTGTCTGCCTCTGTCTCCTAAGTGCTGGGATTAAAAGTGTGTGCCACCAGTGCCTGGCCTCTTATGTGGATCGGTCTGCAGTCCGATCTTTAGGCAAGCTTTATTTGCTATAGCACAAATAAAATATCACCACAGAGGCAGAGTACTAACTACATGGGAACTCTGTGCACAATCCCCCAACCCACCCAGAAACCATCATCTATGCCGAAATAAGCTCACTAAGCATCTGCCCAGATGACAGCATTACAGTGGACATCATCTATGCCGAAATAAGCTCACTAGGCATCTGCCCAGATGACAGCATTACAGTGGACATCATCTATGCCGAAATAAGCTCTCTAAGCATCTGCCCAGATGACAGCATTACAGTGGACGCAGTCCTCTTACCATAGCCCTGCTGCTGTCCGGGGTAGCTCTGCTGGTTGGGGTACTGCTGCTGGGAGTACGTCTGCTGCTGCGCTGAGCCCTGCTGGTACCCAGTCTGCTGCTGACTGTACTGAGAGTTTCCTGAAGGAAGAAGGGGGCACAGTCTCATCTCTGGGCACAGGACAAGCGAACAGTTATGGAACACTTGCACCGTGTCTCCAGAGGTAGCGTGTTTCCACAACGGCTCAAATAGCATAGGACATTTTTGTCTTATTATGTTACAAAACACAAATGAAAAGCCAGACAATACAAAATGGGTGAGGTGGCTGCTAAGAGAGAGGCTAACAATCGTGCCGTGCACCGAACTGTCAAGTTCTGCTCCACACGGTCGATCTTAATTGTCAGAACACCCTAGGAGACACACCCGAGTGTGCCTCTGAAGGTCCTTCTTGAAAAGCGTAAGTGAATGTGGGTGGCACCATGTCATGGACTGGGGGCCCAGACTAGATAAAGAGGAAAAGTGAGCTGAGCACCAGCATTCGGGTTTTTTTCCACTTGCGGATACAGCTGCAATGTGACCAGCTGCCTCAGGCTCCTTTGCCGTGGACTATTAGCACAGCTAGCTCTGGGAGTGTGTTTACACACTGGGGCACAGCATGGGTCCCCACCATGCTCCTTACCCCCCTCATAGTAGTGCTGTGTGGAATCCTCAAACGAGCGGTCGTAGCTCTGCTCTGTGTAAGACGATTGCTGGTAGGCGTAGTCACTGTGGCCTGCAAGAGACAGGTGACTTATTGTCGCTGGAAATGTCTCCCTGCCTAGGCCTGCAGCACTGAGTTCAGACCAGGGGATGAGACTGAACTGGTTGAGCCTATCTCTCTAAGCCCCTTTGTTCTGTCTGTCTGTCTCTGTCTTTCTCAAATGCAGACTCACTGTGAGGCTGCTCCACGTTGTGGAGAGAATCAAGCTGCACTGGCTGCTCTCTCCTGCATCTGTCCAACTCCTGGGGCTTCCTGGGTAGTGATGTTGTGACCATGAAAAGGTCTTTGGGACAAGCCGCCGTCTGATACCAGGCATCACGGCTAGCTACAGACTTGTCTCAGCCACCTACCCTGCTCTTATTTCCCAACGCACCCTGCCTCATGCTATGGCTTACACCAGAGACCTCCATCGTTATCTCTCAAAATGTATATTTAAGATAGATATTTACTGAGACAGAGTCTCCTTATGTAGCCCAGGCTGGTTTCAAATTCTTAATCTTCCTGCTTCCGTCATCCAATAGCTGGCGTTTACAGGCAAGGGCTACCATACCCAGTCCTTAGGATCACTTTAAATGCCATGTCCACAAATCCACTTAAAGAGGACAACCTGCAGAAGTGAGGGCAGGAGGCCGGACGTTGGGACCCACCATGTTAAACACACCTGTCAGTGCGGGGTGGCTCTACCCAGCTCAGACTCCTACACCTTCTGGGAAAGGGTAGCAGAGAAAACCCAAGGACATGGACGGTGTCCTACGTGGAAGGTTTTCTTGCGGGATACCAGCCTCAGTCACGCCCCAGAGTGCTCAAGCCGAGGACATGAGGCTGGGTCTGAACAGCGGATGAACTAGCTGTCGGGAGCATGCCTTACCGTCTGGGTAGTACTGCTGACTCATGGGCTCTGCAGCTCCCTGGCTGTGGCTGTACTGTTCGCTGTAGTACTCCTCCTGGCCTAGGTACTGCTGGGAAGAGCCTGTGGGGATGTGACCAGATTCTCAGGACGTGGACAGTGGGCGAGACAGGCTCACACACCTGGTTCAGCAGCAAAGCCATGCTAAGTCAGCCTTGCCCATGGGCAGAACACACCCAGGACCAGTCAAACACCAATCCTCCCTCTCCTATTAACCCAGCTGCCCAAACACTCTGGAACTGGAACAACCACCATCTGTCCCTTCAGCCCAAGACACCTGCTCCCTGGGCTAGCAGATGCTCCCCGGGTCCCCACTGCACCTATAGGCCCAGGGTCCTTGCTCATGCCATGGACAGACATTATGGCCCACGTGGGGCAGACCACTGGCTCTTTACCGTGGGCTGGAGTAGGCCTCGGCCTTACCTTGCTGGGAGGGTCGGTAGGGCGCCATGGGCCGCTGTCCCATCATGCTGCTCCCTTGGCCACCCTGGCCCATCATGGCAATGGGCGCCTGGCCCTGGTAATGCTGGCTCCCGCCCTGTGCTGAGTTGTAGTGGGACGTGGCTGCCTGCTGGTGCATCATGGAGACTGTGTGACAGGACAGAGACCCCAAAATAAGCCTGAGCACGCGCTAGGGTGTATGGGGGGGGGGGCTGTGTCTCCTGCAGACCTGACTCTCTCCTAATGCTACTTGTTCATCACTTCCCATGTAAGATGGCACCTCTGATTCCAAGTCAAACCTCTAACACTGTGAGCCGCATCCAAGCCCTGGCACAAGGTCAGGCCTCAGCTCTTAGTACTAATGTTTGGCTAACATAGGAAAGGTCACTGGGCAAAAAGAGGGTCCTCAGAGCCCCGGCTCCTAACCACAGAAACTACAGTCCTTCCTTCCTTGTCCCTAGGGCTTGTCTTGAAGCAGTCAGTGTCCTCTGTCCATTTCTTGGGCAGCAGCCATACAGCCACTGTGGACTGCACCCGCCTGTTTGCTGGCCTCTCTACACACTGCTCAGAACTCACTGGAACAGCACTGCCCAACAGAAACAGGACAAGAGCCATTTATTTTAAAGCCTGTAGTCAGTCAGGCCTGATGGAGCAACCTGTCACCCTAGCTACTTGGGGGATGGAAGAAAGAAGATTCCAAGTTCAAGACCAGCCATGGCAAGGGGACGGAGCTCGCTCGAGTCCTTGCCTTACATGCATGAGGCCCTGTGTTTAGTCCTCAGCACTGGGAAAAGAAAAAGAAAAGCTTCTGGTATCACGCTGAAAAAACAAAATAAGCCAGGCAGCGGTGGCACACGTCTTTAGCCCCAGCACTTGGGAGGCAGAGGCAGGTGGATCTCTGTGAGTTCGAGCCCAGCCTGGTGTACAGAGCCAAGTTTCAGGACAGCCAGGACCACACAGAAAAACCTTACCTCAAAACAAAAAAAGGTAAAGCGATCTTCAATAAACATGACAATGTGTTTACAAAACATAATCCACAGCGCTATAATCACAGAGAACACAGGAGACACTCCATCTTGTTTTGTAATGCTCCTCTGAAACCTGTCTGACGCCCAGGGAACATCTGGATTGGGACCCGCCCTTTTCCAGGTACTTCCTGATCTCACCATCAGCACCCACCATCAGGACAGCCCCCAATCCCGGGTCCCTGCTCTGCTGAAAGGCCCGGACCCCCAGCTTAGTATTTGTGACCCTTCATCTTTTATACTTTTGGCCTTTTCCCGGGGTTCCCTGCGTGGGGAACCCCCATACCTCACCCGAGACCAGTATTTATCCAAGTCCCACAGCCAATGGGACTTGGAATTCAATTTCCTTGGAATTCCTAAGGCCTCTGAGAAACCACTCAGGGCGAGTCACTGTGTATCCACTAACCTGGCCTCGTGGAAACGCTTAGGGAAGAACCACAGCACCCAGCAGGAAGGCTGCCCCTTAGGGTCACACAGACAAGCTGCCTGAGTTTGCCAAGGTTTAGGAGCTGACCAGGGATGTGGGCCAGTACCTGGGTTCGACTGCATGTTGATGTTGGTCCGAGACACATAGTTGCTGATAGCACCTTGGCCTTGCATGGGGACACTCTGCGAGGTGGGTCCCGAGTGGCTGTAGCCAGGCCCAGTCCCATGGCCACTGCCTGACATGCTCATGGAGGTTGTGGGCAGTGTGCTCTGCGCTGTCTGCTGCATGGACACATGGTTTGGACCTGCCAGGAAGGGTAGGAGACAGAGTGTCAGGCATTGGAGGCCAGGTATCCACTTCAAGGTAAAGACATCCAAGTTCCTTTCAGACGGTTTTGAGCAGGACGGTTAATCCCTGGTCAGTAACACCAAGAAAGGAAGTGATTTACACACAGACACATAGCATTGTGTCATGGTTACTGAGACCCCCCAGTTGTCATTAGTTCTTATGCCGCAGCAATAGCAGCAGCACCACCTCTTCATTCTAGGGGACCCGTGCAGAAGCACATGTCTGTACACTGAGTGGAGAGTCACATGGAACTGGGCACATGAAGTCAGCTTCATGCCCTCTGCACGTACACGCAGGCTTAGCAGAGTACCCGTGGCCAGGACAGTGGGAGAGAGGTGGGCAATCACAGGCCAGGACAGTACTGTACCCAGCTCTGCTGGGTGTGGGCTGACCCTGCAGCCGGTCAGTCACCTATGGCTGGCTACCTTGGTGACAACGCTGCAGCAAACCTGCTCACCGTTACCGATCTGGCCCTGCATGAGGGAAGCAGGGGGCAGGCCTGTGCTGATGGCATCACTGAGGCTGCCCTGGGGATGCAGGCCCTGGCTGGAACCGCTCTGGCTCAGTGCTCCAGGGCCCAGGTTCATGTTCTGTGTTGGTGGCTGTAGAGGACACAAAGGTTAGGACAGTTAACTCAGAGTGAGCACCAAGAGCCACTCCAGAGACACAGGGGTACTGGGCTAACACAGACATTCAGAACATAAAATCAGTTGGGTAAGTGTCTCTCAATGTCCACAACTCATCAATGACCTGTACAACCTGGCTCCCTGCCTTTTATTCCCTGTGTCCCCTCCCCTCCCCTCCCCTCCCCTCTCATCCTCTATCCCCTCAGTTAAACATAAGGTGTAAGGGAGACAGATCGTCCCCTAGATCAAACAGTGGCTCCCAAGGTTTGCATGCGTGTGCTATCTGTACCTAGCCAAGAAAGGGAGCCCCTAACCAGGCCTGGTGTTGAGAAGCCCTATACTCTCAGCTGAGAGGTGGAGGCAGGAGGATGACAAGTTCAAGGCTTGTGTATAGACTGAGTTCAAGCTCAGGCTGGCAAAATAGATCCTAAAACTAGCACTTATTTCTAAGAAATAAAAGGACAACTGAGGACATCACATGCACATAGCTCTAGGTTCAATCCCCCAGCACTGAAGACGAGAAGGGGTGTGTCCGGCAGGACCAGCTGCTATCTGCACAAGCACCCAATCGATATCACAGCTGACCAAGGGGTAACACCATTCACAATGCCTCCGCTTTCCCAGGGGGCAGTGCACCAGGGGTTGAACCATTCCTGGTAGTGTGTCTACCCTGCACCTTGTAATTAGCCTTGGTCATCCTGGAGTGGCTCCTTCTCTTGGCCTTACTTGGGCACAGGTACATGATCCAACTTCACAGTAAAAATTTAATTTGGGGAAAGTGCAGTTACAGAAAATTAAACAGACAATAAAATATTTATACTAACATCTGGAATGTGACTGCACAGGAGATTTTTTTTTCCTTTCAACTTCCTCTTATTTTTAAGACAGGATTCATACTGTGTAGCTCTAGCTAGCCTGGTTGGTATTTGATCTACGGCCCAGTTTGGTTTCAAACTGACGGCAATCCTACTACCTCAGCCTCCCAAGTGCTAGGATTTAAAGGCATGCATCGCTGAGGAAGATTTGTTTGGCTTTTGTTTTTTAAAGTCCAGGTAGTGCACTCACAGACACTGGAAGTGCTCACACCATTTGGAGCCCTGATACGATAAATGAGGCCCTGCATTCAAGCCTCAGCTCCACAAAACAGAAAATAAACAGAAGGGTTTGCAGCAAAGGCACAAAGCCCCCTCCTGTCGGTCATGACACAGCTGACGTTCCTTGGGTGGGTTCTGGGGTCACTTCCCTACGCTAAGCAGTCCAAGTCCCAATTCTACCTGTCTGGCCATTATAACCTTACCCACGTGAATCCCTCCTTTCTGCTGCCTAATAGCACTGGGTTGCTGCTGGTCACCTGCCTACTAAGGTGACACACTCAGAAACTGGCTGCAGCACCTACCGCGGGAAGCAGCGACTGCATATTCTGGTTGGAGTCTGCTATGGTGGCCAGGTAGACCAGATTCCGGTGCAGGATCTGCTGGTACCTACAGGAGACGCGGACAGGTAAAGCAGGACAAACTGCCTCGCCCAAGATAGAAGCACAGTCTGCCCAAGTCAGCCTTGACCTCACACTGGCCCCTAGGACACTCTGGAAATGGAACGTTGCAGATCTCCACAGTCTAGAGTGGGGAAAGCAGGGAACAGGTCCCGTCAAGACCCAAGCAGGTTCCTGTTCCATGAGTGAACCTCGGGAGACCCCGAGATGTGTGCCAAGTGAAAAGAGGCAGTAGGTCAACGGAAAAGGAGGAGAGGCCTAAACATGACAGATGATGACCAGGGAACAGAGCCCTGCTACCGAGTCAGACACCAGGCTAACTCCATAGCAGTCGAAACAGGAAGGGGCCGGGGACTGAGGACCCTCACCCACACGTCACACCAGACAAGGTCTCAGGTCTCTCAGACAAGCTGTACCAGGTGAGCACCAGGGCCTCGCACACTTGATACCTCGTGAAGGCGAGAGAGACGTCTGAGGTACTTTGCCCACACAGAGGCACAAGTGGTCTCCTGGTTGGGTCTACTACTGGCCCGTGGATGGAGACTGTGGAAACCCCAAGCCCTAAATGGCGAGGGTTCCCACTTCACCTGCGTTCCCAGAGCCAATCTAACCTCACTCTGCTCTGCACCCAAGGAAGCTTTCTTTCCCAGTGCACAGAGGAGGCTGAGTCCTGGGCCGGCATGGTTACTTACTGGGTGCACTCGGCCGTCTTGCCCTTGCTCTGGTAGTCCAGGATGCACTGGATCAGATGGTGATTCTCATCCAGCATCTGGAGGGGAGAGAAGCAAGGCACAAGCCAGTTACACAGCAGCTGGTTCACATCTGGACACCAGGATCCTTGGGGAGAGTGCTGGGGACACTCACTCCAGGTCCCAGGCCCCTACCTAGAGAGTGCCACAGACCCTCAAATCACGACTTCACAAGAGGGTAGAGGCAGCTTACATCTCTGCTGGCTATGTTCAGTCTAGGTCAGTGAGGGAAGGCAATGAGACATCACGGCCAGCAGAAGGCACTGCAGATACGTATGACCAGGCTACACACGGAGGAGGGGAATCATGGGGCTACTAATCGACAACCTCATTCCTTTGGATCTCTTCCAGCCCTGAGCACGACACGAAAAGAAGCAGGACAGAAGACCCAGGCTGCACTCTGCGGAGACCAGCACTGTTTCCAGACTCTCTTACACATAATAAAGGGTCTAGATTTGAAAACAATCTCATGGGGTGATAGGTAAGCGGTCAAACATGAACAGGTCAGGAGATGGAACACGGGCTCCCAGAACTGTTCCTAGGCCAGAGTCGGTTTCCAGCAGCAGGAAGCTGGTCTTCACTCCACCAGGCACGGTCCACCCTCAGCACTTAGCACCACAGGGAACTAACTGGTCAGACACACAGACCCCAGACCACACCTGACAGGTGGCCATGTTGGAAGGCATTGGGCTGAGCTCCCAAGGTGTCCTGGAGGCACTGATGTGTCTGTAGGAGAATCCAGCACTCTTCCCAAACCCCGTAATGTGAGGGTCAGACCGCCACAGATCCTAGGGCTGGTGCACATGGCTGGCATGTGCTGGAACTGGTGATTGGCAGCACTGAGGAGGACGACAGGGACACCGGGGGTGAAGGGAATGTGCCTAGCATGGGCAGGTATGGCATACAAGAGCCTTCTACTATTTTACAGTCACTTGGGGGCAGTACTTTAAATCACTCAGAAAGGCAGAGGGAGAGGTGGCAGGGGACAGAGGAAGTGTGGCAAGTCAGTGGGCACATGACAACCAGAAGGTAGTTTGAGTCCCTTTCTACCTGAAGTGACCACCAGTCTCTCCCTGGGGGAAGAAGCCTGGCACACCTGCTACCTCCTGTGCCTTAGCACAACAGCTCACAACAGGCAGGTCCTTCCTTCACCAAGACATGCGCTTGGCCTGTTCCTTTAGGCTGCCCGTTGCCCCGCCCTCTACTTTGTAACCGGGTCCCTGAACTACTTCCTGAGGCTAGCTGCCCAATTCCACCCCCTCAGCCTGTACAACCTCAGGGGTGGTCTCTCCTGCCCTGCTCCTTCATAGGTTAAAACACCTCTGTGTGACCACAGATCCTGGACTCAGTGGCCACCAGGGGGCGCTGCTGCAAGAAGCTGCTGCTGGTCAGGTAAACCTGATCTAAAACTCAGGGTTGGACTTTCTCCAGGTTACCTAAAGAACAAACCTCTGATGCATGCCCCCATACACAAGGCTCCCAGCATGCTCTTCTTCAAGAAAGGGCTCTCTCCCCCCAGCATGCCTAGGATGTCAACCACAAGGCAGACAGTGCTACATTACACAGTACCTAGCATTTTATAGGCACGAGGAAATACTGAATTGTTACCATGTTCTAAAATTTTAATTATGTGCATACGTGTTTGCTTGTGTGCTGTATGTACAGACACATATGCAGGTACCCACAAAAGCCAGAAGGGAAAGGTCAGATCTCCTATGAGTTACAGGTGGCTGTGAGCTGCCCAGTGAAGTGCTAGGAACTGAGCTTGGAACCTCTGCAAGGGCAGTGCGTGCTCTTTTTTGTTTTTCCGAGATAGGGTGGAAACTCGCTCTGTAAAACAGGCTGGCTTCAAACTCACAGAGATCCGCCTGTTTTTGTCTCCCAAGAGCTGGGGTTAAAGGCACAGCCACTACCACCCAGCTCAGTGCATGCTCTTAATTGCTGAGATAAATCCCCACCTCATGCCTTCTTAAAATAGCAAATGGGATGCTGGTTCACTTAGTTTAAAAACATTCACAGGAAGTGGGGCATGGTGGCACACGCCTTTAATCCCAGCACTCAGGAGGCAGAGGCAGGTGGATCTCTGCGAACTCAAAGCCAGCCTGGTCTACAGAGGGACTTCTAGGACAGCCAGGGCTATTACACAGAGAAACCTATCTTGAAAATCCAAAACCAAACATTCACAGGAAAGACAGGACGCATGCAGAGAGCTCCAGACCCTCATGGATCTGCCTGCAGGAGACAAACAAAGTATAAAATCCCAGGACAGTAAGAACAGGACATGAGCTGGCGGGTGTGGATCTTAGGGAGAAAAGCAAACAGACGAGGAAGAACTGAACCGCTGTCCCCAAGGCAGTGGATCTCAGCCAACTGTATGTAGAGCCACCTTGGGGAAGTCCCGAGAGGCTCAAGACAGCAGGGATGGGAGAAAGGAACTCCTGGCGTGTCTCTATGGAAAGGGGGAAGGCAGAGAGCGCCCCACAGGGAGGATTGCGGAGCCTCTGACCCTGTCCCCAGTCTCAGCAGGGCTAACCCACGATGGCCTGCATCAGCCTACGGAGGAAGCCTGTCATGTGAGGGGCAAACACGAACACCAAAGGCCGGGATGCAGGCCAGGGGTAGAGCATTTGCAGAACTTCAGTCTGGTCCAGTCAATGGCCGGAACTTAGAGCAACCAAGATTACAAAGGGGAAAAAAAAACAAAACAAAAAAATCTATATTCAAATCACAACAATAAAATCAAGTCACTATATAAATGCAAGACAACAGGGCTATTTAAAATGAACACAGGAAGCCTGTTGTGGTGGCGCACCTAAGCTCCCAGCACTCGGGAGACAGAGACAGGTGAATCTCTGGGAGTTCGAGGCCAGCCTGGTCTATGGCGCGAGTTCCAGGAAAGGCTCGCGTCAATCTGTTGGCCTGCCTGCAGCCTGTGCAGTGTGCTCCAGGTTTCCAGCTCCTGTGCACTGTTGAGACTGCTGGGGAGGCCTTTGGTGATGCAGCTGTCTTTGGGTCATTTCCACTTCCACAAGTAACCCCAATAAAACTCAAATGGGCACCGACAGGATGTCTGTTAGGGGCCGCCTTTTTGGGGCGAGCAGATGTGTCACACAGCACCCTCTGCTCCCAGGCTATGGAAGCACTATGAGCAGCTGCCTGGAGCTTCTGCCACCATGGCTGAACCCTCCAAGTATGAGCAGAAATTGCTTCCTATCAGGCAAGGAGATAGGGATCCACGAACTGAAGATATTTCTAGAAGGCTGATGACTAACCTTGCTGCAGACCTACAGCTAGGGAGAAGCCAATGAGCCACCTCGGAACACTCACCCCACTGTGGACGATGCGAATTAGCTGCGTGAGCCTTTGAAAGCACGCGCAGGCAGGACACGCAGGAGGCACAGCCTTGTAGTCTCACAACCACGTTTAACACTTATGTCCACTTTGTAATGACTACACCCACGGTAACACTCGTGACCGCAGATAGACTATTTCTACCTTCCTGAGCAACATACATGTCAGTTCCGGTCTGGTACATCTTTGGATGCTTAGAAAATTTAGTCAGCACAGCTCAGCCTGGCCAAAGCATCCTGCCTCCATGAGAATCTCCGCGCAGAAGAAAGATACACAGATGGCAGATGACGTTAAAACCCAGCACACTCGGATGAACTTGAACTGGGTGCCAGAAACCGCCTCTTTACAAGAGTCTGCACTGCCCAGTTTTGTAGCAGGATTTCTTTAGGGCCACCAACCAGCTTCCAAATAAAGACACAGAAACTTCTTATTAATTATGAATGCTCAGTCTTAGTTTAGGCTCATCTCTTGCTAGCTTTATAACTTATTTTAGCCTGTTTCTCTTCATCCACATTTTGCCTCAGGGCTTTTTAGATTTCCTTCATTTGTACGTCTTACTCCAAGTCTGTCAGGCTGGCGCTTGCCTGGCTGGTCTCGTCCTCTTCTCCCTTCTCTCCTCAAGTCTAGGTTCCTCCTCCTGTCATCTCTGCCCACCAGCCCCGCCTATCCCTCCACTGCCCAGCTATTGGTTGTTCTGCTTTGTAGCAGATCAATCAAGTGCCTTCCGCAGGCAAGGTAAAAACATATCTTTACATAATTAAATAAATACAACATAAACAAATGGAACATGTCTTTTCTTTCTTTGTTTTCCAAAGACAGGGTTTTCCTGTATAACAGTTCTAGCTGTCCTGGAACTAGCTCTTGTAGCCCAGGCTGGCCTCGAACTCAGAGATCTGCCTGCCTCTGCCTCCTGAGTACTGGGATTAAAGGTGTGTGCCACCAGAGTCCGGCTACATTTTTTTTTCACAGTTAAAGTAATATTCTGCAACAGTTTTCTACCGTTTCCGACAGAGCTCTTGCCAAAGGACACTGAAGTGATTTGACCCATTCTCCATTGCTCAAGCGCCTTTACCTCAACGCCGTCTTCACTCTAAGAGCAAGAAACTGAGGCCCAGAAAGCACACACGAACTAGAACTGATGAAAGAGAATTCGAGCCTAAGAAGCCCAAGCAGGCCTGCTTTGCTCCCCTGCAGCCGCAGCCCAAAGGATCCTAAATACACATGCTTAAAACCGGGCACAATCTGAGACGTAGCCGAATGGGTCATGTCCACAGCCTGCTCTACACAGCATCCCATATCCCTCTCCTTCACCGCCCACACCTTCAGGCCTTCAATTCCTCCTTCACACACCACACACTGGGCTCATAGGCTTCAAGACATCATCGGTTCCATGCCGTCTGCTAGTGGTCATACCTGGCGCTTACTGTACCTGCTGGATACAATGTGTTCATCACCTGCAGCTTGGGGACTTTCCTGGCTAGAAACAAGCCAAGCTAAGGCTGGACACTCATAAAAAAGATTAAGTCTCCGTGTGTGTTGGGAACTGCGTGGCGGGCCCCCACAAAAAGTGAAAGCGTAAAGCAGTCAACATTTTGGCGCTCCAACAAGGGGCTAGAACAAAAGAAAATCCAAAAACACATGCCTAGGGTAGAGAGTCATGTACCAAACAGTACAGGTATTCGCTTCCCAGGCTGACAAAGGAGGTGGGTGTAAGGAGGTTGGGGGACGCTGGATCCTGCTCTAAGTGCCTCTCCCCTCTACTGGGGAACAGATGGAAAGGCAAGCAGCCTTTGGGCACAGATGCCTTCCCTGGAATGTCCAGCAGGAGTGCTCCCAGCCAGGCTTCCCAAAGAACCGTCTCTGCTTCTCCCCATCCTTGGAAATGCAGGGCTTGAGCTGAGAACCACGCAGGGTGGCCCCTTGCCTGATGGGAGGCAAAGAAACCAAAGGACTGCTCCCACCCCAAGGTGGACACCAGTCAGAGTAATGAGGGGTATCATTCTCTCCCCATTTCAGGGATGGGAAGAGAGACTCTGTGCTCCCCTAGGGAAGACTCTCGCTCAAGAACAGCTACCCACGAGCCATCACTCCGCCACTGCAATGGCAGACACACCTCCACATGCCATTCAACACTGTGGGGACAGCCCTAAGTTTCCGAGTGGCCAAGTTACCCTCCTAGCTGGATTATTGCTGTACAAGCCTAGAGACCTGAGTGTTCAGTCTCTGGAACCCATGTAAAAAGAAGGAGGAACTGATTGCATAAAGTTGTCCTCTGACCACTACATGTACACTGTGACACATGAACCTGTGCAAATAATAACAACAACAAAGCCAATACAATCAGCAACAGATATGTAACTTTTATTGTGCAACTGCTCTGTGAAACAGCAGGGGGCGTTCAGCTGTCCCTCTAATAGGCATGCAGCCATGGGAATCACTGTCCTGTATCAGGTTAATTGCATCAGCTGCACAATGCTGGACACAGGTATACGATGGCCTTTCGTGGAGAGGAAGGTTGGGCCACTGGCGTCTGTGAAGGCAGGAGCCAGCTGCAGCTTCATGTCAGGATGCCAGGCATACCTGTCCAGGCTGTCCTCGGCAAAGCACACTTCTGACTACATCTCTCAGGTGCCAATGCTCTGTCACCACAAGGTCACCTGCTCCAGGTCAGGCCAGCCCTCCAGGCCTCCACTCTGGGTGCCCATTCCCTGCTCCATGAGAGCCACATCTAGGATTACTCTTGGCTTGTTCAAATTTCCCGACCTCACGAAACATCTATACTTGAAAGGTGGGCCATTTTAAGTGGGCCAAATTAATGTTAACCATTATTCTTGTAAGAGGGAGAACAGACAAGAAGGTGCAGGAAGGAAGAGGAAAACAGAGACCTCGCTGCAGACAAGGACACCAAAGGCTTTGGCAGCCACCAGAAGCTGAGGAGGAAAGGGGCAGCTGCCTCCCTCAGGACTGTAGAAAGGCAGGTGGACAGCCACTCCTTCACACCTTGACAAGTGAATTACAGCCTGTTATCTAGGGAAATCGCGGGCCACTCATACATCCACTTAGGCAGAACCGTGTGTAAATTCTGCAGGGCGTACTGGCTGCACCCAAGTCCTAGGCAAAACTAGGGCCCAGCAAGGAATACCTCAGTCACATTCTAAGTCACATGCCACAAACAATACCTCAGAGTACTACAGTGCCCTTGTGACTGTCAAGAAAAGATTAGGAGGATACATTTGTGTGGGACCTTGAAGGTTGAGGGAGTCCTGTCACTCCGAGAACAAGCTGTTTCTTCCCTAGCTTCCACCAGCCTCTCAGGAAACCCTGGCTCTCCCCAGGGATCTCAGCGTGGACAGGCTAGCACACGCTGACTGTGCATGGAGTTCAGGCATTTGTGAACGCCAGACAAGAGTTCTCCCACTAAGCTATATCCCTCGCTCTTGGCTTTGATACAGAGTCTTGCTAGCTAGCTTGGGCTACCCTTGAACTTGTCATGTAGCTCAGGCTGTCCTAAACGCTCCATCTTCCAGTCTTTGCTTCAGAAGGTGATCAGTGGTACACCATCAAGCGAGATGGAAGTACCCATGTGAAGTACATATGATGAATTCTCCTTAAGCCTTCCTACGTCCTCAGTAAAGGATGCAGAAAGACAGCAAAGGGATGGTTGGCCCTACCAGGTCAAGCACCTTGACGGGATAAAGTGAAGATCCGCTTCCAAAGCTGTACAGGGTGTTTCTGCCCTGGACTAAGGTCAGTAAATTTCCCCTCTCTGCAATCTGATGTTTGCGGTGGTGCTCCAACACACTTTAGCCTAGAGAACCCGAGGAGCTTTGACGAGCAGGTGTGACTACAAAATCATGGGTAAATGCTGAAGCCGACGGTGGCTTTGAGAATGGTCTCTCTCAAGCTCCAATAGCCAGTGTGCCAGGATACTGTCGGGTCTTCCAATGTAGTGGCCATCAACCAGGGCTCCCAACCCATGGCCACAGGGGACTGCAGCTCCTGGAGCTACCAAGGAAGGAGTTCAATAGTTCCCACTTAGCCTCCCCAGTTTCCTTCACCAAGTCACGTTGCTACTTTAAAAGTGATAAAAATCTACAAAACTGGGCTCAGTACCTGGAATGCCATGGCACCCCACGGTTTTCACAGCCAATGAAAAACCCACACTTGAAAACTTGCTCAAGGCTGGCTAGGACCTGCCAATTTCCAATCATTATATTCCTAAGGAGCAGGCCAGCAAGGGGACTCTGGGAAACAGGTGACAAGCTCAGGAAATCCCAAGACCCTAGGGTCATGAGGGACTAAAAAACTGGCTCAAGGGAATTCAGAATTCTTCTGTAGAAGGAACCGGAATTGAGAAAAGCCAGAGCTAACAACTGCGTTCAGAACCGAAAGACAACCAGTAAAAAGCTGAAGTGCCCAAGGCAAAACTTAAAAGCTTTTGTTAAAGAAGTCCCCAAACCGGTGCAAACGCCTTCTCTGTTAAAACAGTAGCCCGAACTAAAGGATGTGCCCGAGGCTGTAGGACGAACCTCCGTTGTCTGAAGTCTGCGCGCAGGCGGCTGGGCTCGCGCGGTTGCTCAGTGACCCGAGCGGGGGCGGGGCTGCGTTGGCCGCAGGTACACCGCGTGCAGCGAGCTCGGGACATTGCTGCGGGCCGTGGGGATGACACGCACACTCAGGATGCATCCCTTTGTGCCGGGCACCGCAGCACCTCACGACAGCGGCCAGCTCGCCGCAGCGGCGCGCCTCCAGGCTGCCCGCGCCCCCTTCTCCACTCGCCAAGCTGCGCGCAAAGGCGCGCGACCGTCGCCACTAAGGCTGTCAGCGGAGCTCGACGAGCCCCCGCCCCGGCTGGAGGAGCTGCGGGCCCCGGCGTCCCGCACTGCTGCGTCCGCTGCCAGGGGCGCTCTCTAAGGACACCGCGCGACGCGCTCCGGGGGTCTCCACTCCCTGCGGCCGCTGGGCCTCCGCTGCCAGCGCCTCCGGCAAAGTTGGCGCAGGCTCTCGTGGGGCGCGCGGGGCCGCCGTCAGGGCTCCGGTACCCGGGCTGTGCCTCGGCTTTGTTCGCGCCCCGTGCCCACCCTTTCACTCCGCACCCCCGCGGCCCTGCCCACCTTCTGGATGGTCTGTTGTGTAACCTCCCCTTTGCCTCTCGGCCGCGCCGACGCGAAGGCCACGGACATGGTGGCGGCGCGGACTCAGTCCGTGATCATTGGGGTTTATTCTCCGGCTGCGCCCCGCGGCCCGAGGTGCCCATTCTCCGCAGAGCGGGGGCGGGGGCGCGGGGGGTGCCGTGCCGTGGGCTCGCCCGCCTGCCTGCCGCCAATGCGCGCCCGGGCCTCCCGCGTCCCCGCGCCTTAAGCCACGGCCTTCCGGGACCGGACCCCGCACGGAGTCCCCCGGTGCCCGGCCCGCGCTCTGCGTCCAGCCTGCCGCCGCCGCGCCGCCCCCTGTGCTGGGCTTCGGTGGTTCCGCCCGCCCCGCCCCGCCCCGCCCCGCCCCGTCGCGCCGCACGTCCCCCTGACGCCGGACGCCGCGGACGCCAGCAGCGTGGCCCGGGCGGGCGGGGCGCAGGCGGTGAGTGTGCGCTTTTGAGCGGCGGCGGCCCGAACTCGCGCGTCCGCCGGGATGAGCTACGACCGCGCCATCACCGTCTTCTCGCCCGACGGCCACCTCTTCCAAGTGGAGTACGCGCAGGAGGCGGTCAAGAAGGGCTCTACCGCGGTGAGCCGGCTCGGGCGAGGCCTGCGCGCGGCCGGGCGCACGGGGAAGCAGGGCACGCAGCCCTGGGCGCGGGGGCCGGGGGTTCTGCTTGCGGCGGGTGGCCCGGGAGGTGACGGGAGCTGAATGGTGGTCACCTAGGAAGGGAGCCGGGCCGCGGGGCCTGCGCCGCGCTCCCTAGAGAGCCGGGGCTGCAGCTGCTAGGCTTCCCCGCTGCAGGGCGTCTGGGCGAGCGCATCCCCGCCACTGGGCCGAGGCCATCTTGGTGCTATTGGCGCGGCTCGGGCCGGGGAGGCCGCAGGTGCGCGCGGGCGTGGGAGGCTGGCCGTGAGTTGGCACCCGCAGGGACTTGGGATCTTCCAAGTTAGGCCCAGATGGGCGTTGTGAACAAAGGGCGGCTCGTCGTCTCTGCGACGGTGACAGGCTGCTTCCGGGTTTGTCTGCTCCACCGACTCTGTGTTCTGGTTCCGGTGGACCTTTCTCCCCGCGCCCCAGTTTTTGTTCCTTAGCACCATTTGCCGCCGCCCCCCCCCCCCGACACATGCAAGCATCAACCGTGAGGCGGTTTTGTTTTTTGTTTTACCCGAGTCACCGGGTCTTTGGGGAAACACACGTGGTTCTGAGTCTTGCAGCGCCTGTATTTTTCAAGTATTTAAACTTTGAAACTTAAGCCTCAAATCTTTCGGTGACCTAACCCATCTAAAAAACTATAGTGTGAGCAGGTTTGGAGGGGTAGGCCTGTAATCCTGGCATTTAGAGGTTGAGGCTCGAAAATCTTTAAGACCAGCCTGGACCTATAAGTGAGAGAACCTCTTACACCGTCTCTTCCTCTCTGTGTATGTATGCTTTTTTTTTAATAACTTATTTTTACTTTATGTGCATTGGCGTTTCGCCTGCATATATTTCTCTGTGAGGGTGTCAGATCCACTGGAACTGGAGTTGCAGGTATTTGTGCGCTGCCATGTGGGTGATGGGAATTGAACCCTGGTCCTCTGGGAGAGCATCCAGTGCTTTCAACCGCTGAGCCATCTCTCCAGTCCTAGTGGGGAAAACAACCACCAGTGAGACAGCCGGCCAGGTTGCTAAAGCGCCAGCTTTGCCAGCCAGAATACCTGGTCTTGTGTCCCCCCCCTTTTGTGGGGTAATTTGATCAGTCTGTGAAACTCCAAACTGTCAATAGTTTACCTTGAATTTGGGGGCGGAGCCCCTGACTAGCAGAAGGGAATTAGCCATAGAGAAGCCAGCAATTTTGATAGACCCACAGGAAGGAAAGGGCAGGGCTAGAGTTTGAGCTGCTTTTTGGTTCTGGGCTCTTGAGGTGTCTCTAGACAAAAACCAAAGGTCAGCTAGTTGCTACTCAGCCTCTCTGAGCTGGCAGGCTTTCACCCCAGTCTTTGATTCTCGGGCCTGATTGATAAATAGAATGATAGAGAATTTAAACCTACACATGGCAGCCGCCGCCGAAGCCCAGTCTGGAGGGGCTGATCGGGCACATAATGCAGGCAGTGGGGCCGCAGACAGTAATTAAAATATCAGATCCTGTGCAGTCACCAAGCCAACAGAGAAACGGCATTTGGTGCCCCACAAATGCAGCGGTACTTTCCCATCAGGACCCCTAACCCACAATAATGACAGGAGACTTAATTATGAAAGCTTGGCCTTAGCTTAGGCTTGTTCCCAACTAGGTCTTATAACTTAACCCATGTTTTTAAAAATCTATATTCTGCCATATGACTTGGTTACTTCCTAGTACTGTACAAAAATCACATGTGCCTAGATTCCTTCTCCCAGTCTCTCTCTCTCTCTCTCTCTCTCTCTCTCTCTCTCTCTCTCTCTCTCTCTCTGCCCAGAACTCCCACCTATTCTCTCCTGCCTAGCTGTTGGCCATTTAGCTCTTTATTAAACCAATCAACATCTTTACAGTGTAAACAGATATTCTGCAACACTCATGTGTTTGTTTTGTTTTATTTTTTAAGTTAGCTTTACAGAATGACATCCCTGGCATCCCATTTCCTAGGAAACAGACTGGAGGATACGCTGGGTTTGCTGGTCAGCAAGTGTAGCAGAGTCTGCCAGGTTCAGTGAGACTGATTCTGTCTCAAACATACATTGGAGCAGCTGGGAGATCATCCAGCAGTTAAAGAGTGCAAGCAGAGTTTAGTTCGGCACCCAGGTGGTCAGTCTCAAAACTGCCTTTCATTTCTGCTCCAGGGGATTAAGCACCTCTGGCCTTCATGCACCACTCGGGGACACACAAAACCATAGGAAAGAAAGCTTTGGAATCTGGAGGTGCCTGTCCCCAGTTCCCCCAACTGGAGCTGCCGTTATACCAAGTTAGCTTCTCAGAACCTGGAAGCACAGAAGCAACTTGTAAAATCACTCCAGACCAGGGCTGGTGTGGACTGAGCTCCCTTGGTAGAACCTTGTAGAAGGTTCCTGCAGCTGGGGGAGTGGAACCGGGTTGCTGCCACCTAGTTGTGCCCTCTGCGCTCAGCTGCCTTGTTGAGGGATTGCTGCATGTTTCTGTTCTCTCTTGAGTACTCTGGGCTTATCGTGGGCTTTTTGTTTGGTTTGATTTTGGTTGTCATGCTAGGCAAGCACCATTCTGCATCCATAGCCCAGCTTCACTCGTTTAAACCGCGGCCATTTCCTCCCTTCCACAGTACCAGGCATAATCAGGGAATGGTGTGTCAAACTCACAATGGGTAGTGGTTCATTTTGTAACACACTAGATCCTACCAGCAGGATGTGCGGTGTGAGGATCCACGATTGTGGCCTGGGGCTTTGTGCAACTCCGGCTTCCAGCATCTGCTGCAGCGTTCTCTCGGGCCTTGGGGTCCTGTGCAGCACCGTTTAGCTATAATACTGCTGCAATGCTTTCGTGTTTTAGAAGCATGAGATTGGACACTCAGGTCCTGATATTGTCCTAGTCCACAGAAGTGGATCCAGTTGGTACAGTGTGTTAGCGATGGGCCGGATATAGGTGGCCTACCTTCCCGTGGGACTGTTGCCCCAAGCTGTGTGCCTGGCTGACCCTACCCCACTCCGCTGTGCCAAAGATTAACAGCTGTCCTGCTTATTATGTAATTCTTAAAAGTGACTTGCGTTCTCATTTAAGGTTGGTGTACGAGGAAGGGACATTGTTGTTCTTGGTGTGGAAAAAAAATCAGTGGCCAAGCTACAAGATGAAAGAACAGTCCGAAAGATCTGCGCTTTGGATGACAATGTCTGCATGGCCTTTGCAGGTACAGGTTGCTCCAGGGTGGTAGGGGGAGCCCTGGTGACCAGTTGGTGGGGCTAGGTGGTTGTGACACATGGAGACTGGTTAACGGCGACCCTTGAAAAGAAAGGGATTTGGACATTAAGAGACAGCAGTTGCTGGGTGATGGTGGACCCTCCTTGCCGCTAGCCCCCCAGGGATGGCTGTTACCACTTTCAGCAGAGCCAGCTTGGGAAGTCTTGTTCCCTGAAACAAAATGAGGTGCAGGGTAACTCGACTCTTGAGTTGTTCGTATACGTGTTTCAGGCCTCACCGCTGATGCACGGATAGTCATCAACAGAGCCCGGGTAGAGTGCCAGAGCCACCGGCTGACTGTGGAAGACCCGGTCACTGTGGAGTACATCACCCGCTACATTGCCAGTCTGAAGCAGGTAGGCGCTTCCTCAAGCACTGCTGTTGGGGGGCCGTGTGACTTCATCTGGCACCTACAGCACCTTTCGGCTGATTCTTCTGACCTGGAGCCATCCTGACTCTGGTCTCTAGAGGGGAATATAAGATTTTGTCTTGCTACTTAGTCTAAGCTACCATTTGTCAAGCAGTTGAGGGCTGAAAGGCACCCCTGCTCTGTGGTAAGATGTGTGATGCAGGACACCAGACACCATGTGGCGCACACATATGCAGGCAAATAGATACAAATAAATCTTTAAAAAAGATACATAATGCATTTTCAGTCCTGGGTGTGTCTTAGAGGAAAAGGGAATGTTACCATCTGAGTCGCAGGTCGCTTGGGATGGGTTTGTCACTAAGCAGTTGTGGTTGTCGCTTCTTTTCCTTTCAGCGCTATACTCAGAGCAATGGGCGCAGGCCATTTGGCATCTCTGCCCTCATTGTGGGTTTTGACTTTGATGGCACCCCCAGACTCTATCAGACTGATCCGTCGGGCACGTATCATGCCTGGAAGGTAAGTCTGTGTCTAAACAGTGGGGCTTTGGGCATAGGGAAGGACTAAAGCAGCATCAGCAGACAGAGGCAACCTCTTGGCATGTTCCGTGTGCACTGCCTGTTTGTCTCACGGTGCTTCTATGAAAGCAACACATTCTACATTGCTGTTTGGCCTTGCATCAGAGAGGGCCTAAATTGAAATCTCCCCAAGTGTCTCTTGACAACGAAAGAACTTCCATTCTAATGTGCTAATATAGCCTTAAAAGTAGGATCAGGGTCAGTGCTACCGCCTTCCACTGCTGGAGAAGCCATCTGCAGGCCATGGAAGAAGGCAGCCACTGGCCAGCCACATAGACTGGCTCTACTAAGACCCATCTGTTTTAGGCCAATGCCATAGGCCGGGGCGCCAAGTCAGTGCGTGAATTCTTGGAGAAGAACTACACGGATGATGCCATTGAGACAGACGATCTGACCATCAAACTAGTCATCAAGGCACTTCTGGAAGTGAGTACACATGGGACACCCCAGGCAGAGTGGGCCTGTGTCTGAGAGGGGGTGG